TTCAACGCGAAAATAGGCAAACGGGACGGAGGCGAGCTGCGAGTGGGTAATTTTGGATATGGACAGCGCAACCACCGGGGCCACTTACTGGCCAGCTTCATGGAGAAGGAGGGGCTCTATATGATGAACTCCTTCTTCAGAAAGCAAGAGCAACGGAAGTGGACCTGGATAAGCCCAGACGGTGTCACCAAAAACGAGATAGACTTTATCATGTCGACGAGAAAGCAAATATTCAATGATGTCTCAGTGATCAATGCCGTGAAACCCGGGAGCGATCACCGAATTGTCCGAGGCACATTGAATATTGACGTAAAGCTTGAACGCAGTCGACTGATAAAGTCCACGCTCCGGCCAGCACCCGTCCATATTCAGGACACCGAAAATTTTCAGCTCAAACTCCAGAACCGGTTTGATTGCCTAGGAAGTAGCGTGGACGATATAAATGACGGGTTCGTGCAAGCCATTCGGACGGTGGGTGGTAAGTTCTTCAAGACCCCCCGTAGAAGCTCGTCCAGGAAACTCTCGGACCATACTCTTGAGCTCATGAAGGAAAGGCGTGACCTGACCCTGCACACTCCAGAAGATGTGAAGCAGTATCGGCTGCTAAATAGACGGATCTCGAAGAGCATTAAGCGCGATATACGCCAGTTTAACACAAACCGTGTTAAAATGGCTATTGAGCGGAACAAGGGCTCCAAAGTGTTTGCCCGAGATCTGTCTATTGGGCAAAGCCAACTGTCGAAACTGAAGACTGAAGAAGGCAGGGTTGTGTCCGCTAGACCTGAGATCTTGAGTGAGGTTGAGAGATTCTATGGGCAGCTCTACGCTACGCAGAAACCCGTCACAGATCTGGCGGAAGACCCTAGAGCCAGATTAATCCGACACTATACCGAAGACATCCCGGACGTCAGTCTAGACGAGATTAGTGTGGCCCTGAAACAACTTCAGAACAACAAGGCGCCGGGGGATGACGGAATCACAGCAGAGCTATTAAGGGCGGCCGGAGATCCGGCACTGAAGGTTCTCCAGAAGCTCTTTAATTCCGTCATTCTCGAGGGACATACGCCAAAGGCATGGAGCAGAAGTGTGGTGGTACTGTTCTTCAAAAAGGGCGATAAAACCCTACTGAAGAACTACAGGCCCATCTCACTTCTGAGCCATGTCTACAAGTTGTTCTCAAGGGTCATCACGAACCGTCTCGCTCGCAGACTCGACGACTTCCAGCCTCCCGAACAAGCCGGCTTCCGTAAAGGCTTTAGTACCGTAGACCACATACATACGCTGCGGCAGGTAATACAGAAGACAGAGGAGTATAACCTGCCACTATGCTTAGCGTTTGTGGACTACGAGAAAGCCTTCGATTCGGTCGCGACCTGGGCGGTACTGCAGTCTCTCCAGAGGTGCCAAATAGACTACCGGTACATCGAAGCGCTAAGGTGCTTGTACGAAAACGCCACTATGTCAGTTCGAGTACAGAGTCAGGACACGAAACCAATCCAACTGCAGCGCGGTGTAAGACAGGGTGATGTCATATCCCCGAAACTCTTCACCGCGGCGTTGGAAGATGTTTTCAAAGTCCTCAACTGGAAAGGACTTGGCATCAATGTCAACGGCGAGTACATCACGCACCTGCGCTTTGCCGATGACATTGTAGTCATGGCTGAGACCATGGAGGGACTCGGTACAATGCTCGATGACCTCACCAGAGCCTCCGAACGAGTGGGTTTGAAAATGAATATGGATAAGACGAAGGTCATGTCGAATATCCATGTTTCACCCACTCCAATAACCATCGGAGGCCATACTCTCGAAGTTGTTGACGAGTATGTCTACCTGGGACAAACCGTCCAGCTAGGTAGGTCCAACTTCGAGAGGGAGGTCAATCGCCGAATCCGACTCGGATGGGCAGCGTTCGGGAAGTTGCGGGATATCCTCTCGTCCCAAGACATACCGCAGTGTCTCAAGACAAAAGTCTTTGACCAGTGTGTGTTGCCAGTGATGACATACGGGACAGAGACGTGGCCACTCACTGCGGGCAATATCAGGCGGCTCAAAGTCACTCAAAGGGCAATGGAGCGGGCAATGCTCGGAGTCTCTCTGCGAGATCGCGTCAGGAACGATGCGATCCGCAGCAGAACCAAAGTAACCGACATTGCCCGAAGAATTGCAAACCTTAAGTGGCGATGGGCTGGCCATATTGCCCGCAGAACGGACGGCCGATGGGGCCGAAGAGTCCTCGAGTGGCGGCCACGGATAGGTCGTCGCAGCGTAGGTAGGCCTCCCGCAAGATGGACCGATGACCTGGTCAAGGTTGCGGGAGTGCACTGGATGCGGGCGGCACAGGACCGGGCATTGTGGCAATCAATGGGGGAGGCCTACGTTCAGCAGTGGACGACCTATGGCTGACAATGAAGTAACATTCTCTTCGCCATTATCCGTGAACGTAGGGATCAAAACATCTCACTGCTATTAATGTTTTTAGGTAGCGGTGGTTACCATAAAGTGTATGTTGACGGACGGCCATATTAACAATACTCGTAAATTACTTTAAAACACACAAACTGAACTACAATGCGACAGCGCAAATATCGAACGTTCCGTTGTGACGACGAGTGAAAGACTGAGCTTGTTGGCGACTGAGCGCAGAGACTGCAACTGAGCTCGAGCCACTCCTTACCATTTATTTTATAAAACTACCCCCCCACTATTCCTTCAAATTTCTAATATTTTCCTAACAATATTGTTGTTTTAAATAAAGATAAATGTATTGATAAATAGCACAGATTAACAAATAACTTTTAAGAATACGGACACATTAAAAATAGTTAAAAAGCTAACAAAAGTGAAGGTTGGTTTATTTATGTTCCTTTGTTATCTTAAAATGAAAACGTCTATGTCTTTCCGAAATAAAAAAAGCAGGAATATGAACGCATCTTTAGCTCTTATTTCTAGACGTAAAAAAAGTAATTCACATTTTTATTCACAAATTTTAAGCGATAACTTTTATTTATATCGAAAAAGAAAGGTACATCACTACTTCTAAGTATAAACGGAAAGTTGATTTTGTCGGGAAATTGAAAATGACGATAGTTTGTGAACACCATTACAGTCTAGATTTACGATTGCAAAAGTAAAACTTTATATAAAAATAAACTAAAGTCCACTAAACAAACTAATGTTTAAAAAGTGACTTATATTAAGATATCTACATGTCACAAAGAAAGAAATATATTTTGATTGAATTCAAATATTGAAACTTACAATAATTATAGTTAAAAAAGTTTTATTTCGTTACGAAAATGTAATAGCGTTTTTATAATACCAACTTTCAAAAGACCATTGTGTACTTAACAATAGCAGATCGATTCCAAAGTCTACAAAAACCACATAGCATCTCCATTACCAGAACATTTTGTATGAATTATTTCGACAGACCTTCACCCAACAAACAGTTCCCGCATTTCAAAATCATATCCAGATACAAATACTAATTGTTGATTACAAAAAAATATTTTGAATTAACAGAAAAGCTCTCTGCTAATGGTGTGAATCATTAAGAGCAATTAATCATAAACGCGTAAGATGTTAGCAAAACCGCCAAACATTCAGTGAAAATATTAAGGCATTTCATAATGACTATTGGATGAAAATGAAATTACCCTCAATTCCAAACAATAAAGAGAAAAAAGTCGCTTTAAATAATCGTCGCTTCGTTGATAAAATTTTATTTCCGAGCATACTTAATGATATTCCAAGATCATTGAGAGTTTTTATAAACTGATTAAGGCATTAACTTATAGCTTGACCAGGAACATAAAAACCCTAGCCATGTTGCGGAAAAATATGAATCTAATTCAGTTTTATATAATGAAGGATGTGTTTGAAGTGCCTCGTGCCAGACATTAACAAGTTTTTGGTGTGACTAGGCTCTTAGCTGATGTGAACAATTCATATTTTAAGTAAAAAAGCATCATGTTATAATATGTCAGAATATGCCACAAAAGAACCAACCAGCATTCTTGGAGTTTTGTATTGATATTTTTGTCTGCCTAATTTACTGCAAGCTGTTGATTGACATTCGAAATTACTTTGAAACATCTTATACATGTCATACTGACAAACAAAATATGTTACCTTTAATTAATTACATAGGTCATAAAAAAAAATAGGTTTCAGATCTTGTTTATGAGTCTTTACTTGAGTGTAGTTACTGCGGCTTGTGCTCTAAACTGAACTTGAACGGAGTAAATAAATCTTGCTGTATAGTTAGAGGAAATAAGTAAGTCTTGCTGTATACTCTTAAAATAATACATCTGAAAATGAAGGATTTTTTAACTAATACAATAATTACCATAGCACTTAAACACAAAAATGTATTTAAGTGCTATGGTATGGCTATGTCCCAATTTGTTTGCTTTTAAATGATTTTTTTTATTTATTTAGTAGCTTTGCATCATAACTGTTCACTGTAAATAATGAAAGCACTTGAAATAAAATAAATCTCAAAATTCTTTTTAAGGAAGCATGTATTTTACTAAGTGGTTCCGTTGGAACTCAAAAAACTATTATTTGTCTGTTTTAAAATTACCTAAGATCTCTTAAAAATAAAATTATACTGCATATTAAACCAAACTTGTAATTTGTGGTCTTGTTTTGTGTTATATATTAAACAGATCTCCTCGATGATGTGACTTTCTAGAAATAATTATTCAAATAGCAGTTAGTGCTATCATAAATAACTAATCGGCTTTATTAGTTAGACACAATTTTCAAGTCCATAATGAAAACATTCAAGTATGTCACAAAAGCTTACAAAGTTCAATCAAAGCACAGATTTGTATACGGAAAAGGAGTGTCTACTACAACATTTGTGTTTATTTTATAACCACATTTTTGACCCACGCTTCAAATCAATATAAAAAAAGGAATAAAAGTTACTTTCTTCTATCGATTTTCTGTTTGTATCATACTACGCTATAATGTCATATGTAACAACTTACCATGAATTTCCTCACACCGCCATATAACACTTATTTTATACACTAATTAGCAGAAAGTATACTTAAAACCACAAAATAAAAATACGCACCGCACGAACTATTTTTTTCAATGTTTTTATTTTTTTCTATTACAAAACATAGAAACAAATTGTAAAACGAAAAACACAAGGGTGGCGCTGCGGTCACGCCGGAACGGAAATCATATAACTTTGACATATGTTTGACATTTTGACAGATAAAGAACAAGTTCTGTCAACAGCAGAACGTTACCAATTGAAAAAATAAAAATTTATTTACACGAGCTGTCTCCCGCAAACTTAATTAGCGTGGAATTTAAACAAAATGGTCATCTATTATGTTCCCGCGTACATCTATCTTCTACCAGCTACCATCCAGTCAAAGTTCCATCAAAAACACCACCTGTTACTGAGATAACGGTGTGATTGCCATTTCGACAGCCCAGCATTTAAAAAAAAGTAGCCTATAATATGCCCGTCCATGTCGGCTACCCTCTAGTGAAAGTACCTTTGGAGTCGGCCCAGCTGTTTCGGAATTAACCCAGAACAAACGCGGCTCATGGTTTAAGGGTCACTGACCATCTCATCCATCATACACGTTCTTAAATAATTATAAAAAATTAAAAAATAATAAAAAAATATCATCGAGTATATTGGTAAAAATAAACTTTATTAAATGTCATCACAGATAAAAAGGAACATAGATGAGCTGTACAATTAATGAAGTCAAACAATATTAATTTCTTAAAACGAAGCATCTATTTTGTACGCCTACCATTTAAATACAGAATAAAAACTACCGATTATAAAAAACTTTACAAGATTTTATGCTACAATTTTGATTAAAAGTTGTCCTTAAAAATATGGTATAAACCATCTTATAACAAAAAAAATACTAAATAGTGACATTTACATACAAATTAAGTACAAAAGTACCTAGTTATATATTAATTATACAAACAAATGTGTGTAAAATACATTAAAAATTATGCAAAATCGACTCCTGTATCAAGTAAATCTCTAATTAATACTGTAGCCTTCCTCGGCAGTATTCTGAGTATGTGTCCGAGGTAGAGCAGGTGTTTCGGAACAGACGCCTCCAGGTAGTTACGTCGTACACTGTCCAATATAGACTTGGCCGCTTTTTCCGGTGTTATTGTCCCGAAATAACTTGAAATCCTGTAAAGTAAATAAACTCGGTTTTTTATTATCTTTTTAGTTTCGTTAGAACATTTCGTTAGAACATGGTTTACATAAAACTTTAGAGATGATTTCTTGTTTTTTATTACTCAAATCTCAATGTTCTTTTTTTTTAAATAAAGTGTAGAATATTATTAGTGGCCAGTACAATCTCTGGTAGTCTACAAACCCTTTGGCTAGCAAAAAGTTTAAATATGTGAAACTACACTGTTAGATACATTTTGGTTGCCTGCTTCCAAAACCAATGCAAAAATTAGTATTTTAAATCCTATTTCAAAATATACCAACCTTAATCTTAAATCCGAATTTTCGTCTACAATGAAAGGGTAAATGTGTGTTAATGTAACATATACTCCGTCAGTCTTGTTTATTCTTAAATGCTCCATCAGTGACTCGGCTAATCCTTGCACAGCGAATTGTGCAACGCTGAAGGGCATCTGATCCTTGATGTAGCTCAAACCGGCTACAGAGGTCAATGCCACTATATGCCCATGATTCCTCTCTTTCATTTCAGGCATAAAGTTCTCTATAAGCTAAAAACAAAATTTTATATTATCCTTTAAATAAAATCATAGAAAAAAATAATTCCATAGACAATAAATGACATTGCCAGCATTCAAAATATGTAAATAAAATTTTTCATTTCTGTTAAATTATATTATAGTAACATGTTTTAGTTAAAATAATTTTAAGTATTTCGCAATCGAAATATTTACTTAATATTAACCTTGTAACGATAAATCATCTAAATAAAAAAAAAACTTGTGATTCAACTATTCTAAATATCAAGTTTTTTTTAAATCGACGATTAAATGAGTCATATTGTGATTAAATCTTACCCAGAAGTATGAAGTCAATGTAAGGTCCAAAGTCTCGTGTATATCTTGCGACGGTTGCGTCATGAGAGAGCGTGGACTTGGTATACCACAGCAGTAAAACAACATGCTTACAAAACCAACATCTTTCTTCACTTGTTCAGACATTTCTGTCACATTTTCTTTTCTTATTATATCACATTCATATATAAACGCTTTTCCACCTCTACTTCGTATATGTTTTACTGTGTCTTCATTGTTTGTTACGTTCTTATCTACACAAAGAACAATTGCACCAAGTTCCGATAGTTGAATAGCAATTTGTCTACCAACTCCTCGTCCAGATCCAATTATCTAGAAAAAAATACAATAGATACTAGAATATTTTGTATGTAATTTTATATACTAAAACTTTCATATTGATTATGTATGAAAATAAAGAAAAAATTGTTACAATAATTACCTATGGCAATCATTAAATTATTTTCAAGCTAATTAAATTTTAACTAACTATAAGGGAGTAATAGTTTACTAATTATTGAGGATATTTATATAGGCTATCAATTTAACTGTCTTTACAATAGACATATTGACAGAAGCAGCAGCCTAAACAACTGATAACAATAATTGCTTTATCATAACAAGCATTGTAAGAAAAATTATTCAATAATATTATTTATTTAATTTATGTTACATCATACAATGAAAGAATAAGACATTCTTTGTTTGAATTAATCAAATTTCTCCTATTATCTTCTTTACTGATTATTACAATTTAAGCGCCAATATCCAAATGGTTTGGGGTACAGACTACCGATCTTGTGGTCGAGGGTTCAAATCCCGCCATTCGACTATTGTCATGAACCGTACCCTAGCACAAGCCTAGTGCTTAGTTAGAATGATTAAAGGTAATATTAGTGAATTAACAAAAATCTACTAACATTTGTTATTAAAATAAAAAAAATAAAAATAAATGATAAGTAGTATTCCAAAAGTTGTTTAAAAGTCCACTAAAATAAATAAAATATTACAAATGAAATTATGCTCTCACTATAACAATTAGCAAAACTTTCTTAACTGTCTATAATTAGAATTGTAATTACTCCCACACCATAAAAAATGTCTACCTGTATATGCATTTATTTGTTGACTTCTTTAAAAAATATTACACTTACCAGAGCTGTCTCAGAATGTAAAGACTTCAATGGTGGAGGATTAAAGAAACCATACACAGCTTGAAGTATTGCATAGTTTGTGTTAACAACCACCCACATAACATCCACAATCAGAATACAAAGTGAATATGAACGGAGTAGCATTTTAAATGGAAACATAGGGTTCAAAACTGTTCCAATTGTATTCCCCATCAGTTGTGTTGCCTGAAATTGAAAATATAAATGATTTTTTATTTATTTAAAACAAGTGGTTGTACCAAAGTTAAATTTAAAATTGTCCTTATTTAAAACACAAATTATGATAGACATTAGTTTTCTTTTGTAGTGAAACAACAAAACATAGCCAAAAAATGATAAGGTAAATGTATATTTTTTGAATAATAATGTAGAATACTTACTATTTTTAATACAAATTCCATTTTCAATGTTGCATTTGCAACTGATACAAATTATGAATGAAGTAAAAGATAACTGTACCTTGTCTGTGTGTAAAGTTTAAATGAGTCTCAGCCCGGAACTCGGTTGCATCACATCGCCAGCTAACATTTCTCTTATCAGCTAAATAAGGTTTACTTGATAACGACAACCAAATGTAACGTAAATTGTTAAATAAAATATTTGAGTTTGACAAATTGACAAATGATTGGTTGACCATAGACTAATCAGCTGTTAATGATGCCACAGACGAAATATGACTATTGTTTTGTCCAAGTTAGTCTATGAAAATGCCTTTTTTCCAACTCAATTATATTTCTAGATTCCGCCTTTTAGTACATTTTCTTATCAGTTAAAGGACTATTTAGCTACTTGATGCAAATGTCTAGTAACTAACTTAAAATAGTTTAAAAATCAACATCAAAACACAGGCAAAAAGACTATAAGCCTTGGCTTAGAAGTACGTTCTAAAGTCAATCTGTCAAATTCACAGCTTCCAACTGACATTGTCATTAATCAAACTTGACACTTGACAAGACAATTTAATTTGTTACAAATTGTTGTTTACTTTTATCTGGATTCGGTATAAAGATAAACCCAAATATAAATCATATCAGTTTATCGCATATATTCAAGTATTAAATCTTATATATAAAATGGCTTTTGTTTATCAAGGTGATTCCGAACTAGAAACAAAAGCTAGAAAAGGTAAGGATACGGAATGATATTAATGTTGCGAAAAATAATACGTATTATAATGGAGTTTAATTTCAGCTGCCGAGAGGATTTCTGAGAACATGCATATAGTAGCAAATGAGCCATCACTAGCACTTTATAGACTTCAAGAACACGTAAGGAAAGCTCTACCGCCCATGGTAGAAAGACGAGTTGAAGTAACTAAGTTGCAGCATGAGTTGCAAGGAAGATGTTATGATGTTGAATATGCACTGAGGTAAGAAAATAACATTACAAGTACTATACTTCACAGACATCTTCATTATCGTGAGATCACATTAATTAGAAGATACCTTCTCTGATAACTCCAATTTTCAAAGTTTTTTTTCTACACTGCATTATTATATTTCAGTGCTGTGAAGTCAATGGATGGTGCAGCAAACAGTTTTAAGAACATTCAAGAGATGTTGAAGCAGTCTATTTATCTAAAACAACAATTAAAATATGAAGAAAGTAGGAGAAATAAAAAAGATACAAGTTCTGTCTACAAACGTCTCTCTGCCCATATAGTATTAGACTTACCGGACTTGTCCGATTTCTCTATGGTCCGTGAAACCACAAATAGAATAGAGAACATGATGGCACATGCCAGAGGTTCTAATAACGAATTGCAAAGATCCCACACTACACTACATTAGAATCAAATAAGTTATAAGTACAACTAAGTTTTCTGTAAAGTTGGTTTACAGATCTATACTTCTTCCACACTCATACTTATAAGCCGAGCTCAGACAGACAATAAGTCATGCTTTTACGTGTGTGCAGCCATCATTCATTGATTTATAAGGCATTATGTCAAAAATAGAATAACTTTAATAGAAAAAAAAAGCATTTTGCGGTAGCTTTGATAGTCTTTAGTATGTCAAGGCAATCTAAAATATTCCAATATCACATATTAGATTCACAATAGATAAAATACTAGGATTGTTTATATTAAGAGTCTCATAAAAGTTAGCAGTAGAGAAGCATAAGTTAATACTGTTCTTGCTTTGAATTATTAGAGTTAAAAATAATTCCTTCGTTAAATATAATAGTATCAAGATGTAATAGAATTGAATTATCTGGGGCAAGATGATAAACTCAAGGGTCAAGGGGATATAGTTACTTTGCAGTTATTTTAGCACTGAACTATATAATGGGCACATTTTAAGGCACTAACAATTTATCTCATTCCATTTCTCTGTATTTTTCATTTCTTGCTTGTGTATAACATGGCTTTATATCATGATCTCATATTGAACTAACCTCATAAAAAAGCTTCTAGTCAATTATTTTAAGGGTATATTAAAATGCTTAATAAAGGTCATTGCTCATTAACCAACATAATAACATGCGGCAGTATTCACGCGTGAACGACGAGTGTATAACGAACTTTTTCGATAGTATATATCTATCTCTCTCAGTCAGCGATGGAATGTGTTTACTCGTTCACGCGTGAATGTCGCGGCGTTGGTGTAATGATAATATTAATTTCACTGCAAATTATTTTCTGTTTCAAGATTGCCTATGTTCTTAACATTTTTATGTGTACTCTGTAATGTTTATACTGATTTTATAGAACGGGTTAAATAATTATGCTCATTATTTATAATTGCTTAATAATGGTTATCAGTATTATATAAGATAATAAAACAAATTCATGTGCAACTATAACTTTATTTATCAAATAAACAATTACTAATTGCTTCTGTTTTCTTCGCTTTCAAATCAAAATGGCTTAAAATTAACTATAAGCTTACGCAAAACTTAACCAACTTTTGCTAACATTTTTGCAAAAAAACGAGTCAGTGAAAATTTCATTTCAAGGAAAGTGCATATTCACGCCTTTTGCAATCACCCGTTCATGTTAATAATATTTATCAATACATTAAAAGACCGACCTATTTTAGCTAAATTTCCATTTATACAAGCATATTGTCATATTTTATGCACACATTTATGATGGTTGGCAAACTTTATATTATTTCTTTTGAGTAAAGGTAAACAATCTATTCACCCTGCTGCAATCCGCTAAGAC